AGTGTTCTTTATTTTAAAAACCATCCTATGCCGAAACCGGTTTGGCTCAGTGGATAGAGACAAACCTGTGGACTGAAAGGTCCCAGGTTCGATTCCAGTTAAGGGCATGTACCTTGGTTGCAGGCACATCCCCAGTAGGGGGTGTGCAGGAGGCAGCTGATCGATGATTTCTCTCATCGATGTTTCTAACTCTATCCCTCTCTCTAAAAAATCAATAAAATACATTTAAAAACAAAAACAAAAAGCCATCCTACTGCCTGGCCGGTGTGTCTCAGCTGGTTGAGCCTTGTCAGGGCACATTCCCTGGTTGCAAATTTCACCCCCAGTAGGGGGCGTGCAGGAGGCAGCTGATAGATGTTTCTCCCTTCCCCTTTCTCCTTTCTCCCTCTAAAATCAATAAAAAAAGTTTTAGCCCTAGCTGGTTTTGCTCAATGGATCACTCATTAGCCTGCAGACTGTAGGGTCTTGGGTTCAATTCTGGTTAAGGGCCCAAGCCTGGGTTGCGAGCTCTATCCCCAGTAGGGGGTGTAAAGGAGGCAGCCGATCAGTGATTGTCTCTCATCATTGATGTTTCTATCTCTCTCTCCCTCTCTCTTCATATCTGAAATCAATAAAAATATATATTTTTAAATCCTTCTTTGAAAGAATAACTTTTCCATCTTTTAATTTATTCAAGCCTGTTCATGTAGCTCAGCAATTGAGCATTGACTCATGAACCAAGAAATCACCAGTTTGATTCCCAGTCAGGGTATATGCCCAGGCTGCAGGTTTGATTCCCAGTAGGGATGTTTCTATCTCTATCCCTCTCCCTTTCTCTCTCTAAAAAATCAATAAAAACATTAAAATTTTTTCTTATTAAAGTAATTGATGTGACTATAAAAATAATAAAATTTGAAGGAAGCAAGTAAAATGAGTGTTTATGTTAAATGTCAAATGGTTTATGTCTGTACTATATTAAGACTACATTCTGCAGATAAATGGGCAGAAAGATACCAGTAGAACTAATCCTCAAAGGGGGCAATCCGGAGGATGTATATCCTGTTGTGTTAAAAACATACAAATTTCTATAATTTTGCACCCCGTACAGTGGCCTAACAGACTGCTTGCTGATGAGGTTGAGGTGAGGCTGTCATCATTTGTTGCCAGGCTAGGACGTCAAATAACACACAAAGCAAGAACCAAGCAGGCTTACGTTCCTTGGGCCTAATAATGCCACTTCCTAGAATTTGTAGATAAATCCAACCAAAGCTTAAAAAATACATTCAAGAAGATGGTAAGCATAAAAGTTCATATAAATCAGTTGGGGCTTTCCTAAACGTTCGAGTGTTTGGCACTCATTCCCCCATTTCTCACCAGCGCCTGTCACATGTTCCACATGGTTTTCCATTCATAGATGGTGTATGGAAGTGGTTTTTATTTTTTCACGAGAGCAATTTACAGGTTAATTGCTTGCTCTTCTCTCCCTGCTCTGTAACAAGTCTGTTTGGAAGCCAGAGACGACCATGTCCTGAATCTTAGGCTTCTGATAGCAGAGCAAAAGAAAAAAGAAAAAAGGGGTTCAGGATGTAAGTGGAGCAAGAACCCTAGGAGACCACACAGTACCGCTTAGAAACGTTAATTCCAGAACCCACCATTCGCATTCAGCCCCCCCACCTCCCCCATCCTATTGGATAATATACTCTGTGAAACTTAAACAGTTTTTTAATGCTTGCAAGGGGAGGAAAGGAGGAAAGGGAAGAGTATCAAAGAAAAACCCAAACTCCGTAGATAGAAACAGTGGTAATGCTGCTGTTGAGTTCAGGAAACCCATGGTTATTATATTTTATTTTATTTTTTGTTTATTTATTTTAAAATATATTTCCCATGGTTATTTTAGAAAGGAAGTTGGCCGCCTCCCATTTTATGCTGGAGCTAAGTTACTAAGTACATCATTTATGCTCAAGTTCTGGATAGTAGGGAGCTATGGCACGAATGCCATGGAAAATGGAGACTGAGGTTTCAGCATTTTCTAGGCCTACAGCATAACTGGTATTCAATGTGTACTTCTGGGCGTGTTTAAATAGCTGCTTTATAACTTATATAAACCTTGAAGAGCTTATCACCAATTTCTCCCCCCCCGCCCCCCAATGTTAGATTATTGTATGAGATGCTGGACTCTCTCTCTTTTTTTTTTTTAATTCTCACCCAAGGATATATTTCCATTGATTTTTAGAGAAAGTGCAAGACAGAGATAAAGACAGAAATATTGATGTGAGAGAAACACATAAATTGGTTGCCTCCTGCATGCGTCCCAGCCAGGGCCAGGGAGGAGCCTCCAACCAAGGTGCATGCCCTCGACCAGAATTGAACTTGGGACCCTTTGGTCCACAGGCCAGTGCTCTATCCACTGAGCCAAACTGGCTAAGGCCAATGCTGACCCCTTGAAATTCTTTCATAGCAATAATTATTTTAAAAGATATCTTTGTATGGATGAAGTGTAGAGAACGAGTTTTCTAAGCAAGTAACAATTGCTCTTTCATGATCTTGGCATATTGGAACACATAGAATTTGTTGATTATTGATTTTTTTAGGCTCGGGAAATACTTTAGATGTGGTGTTTGGGGGAAATCAGAGTCTGAACTTATGAGTGTGAATAATTATGGAGAAACCTAATTTGCGTCACCATTTGACGATTGCATATTGCTTCCTGTTTTGTGGTTTTATAGTTTATGTATTCAGTAAGAGGAGAAGTGGTGAGCTCAGTCAGATATCAGGGCTGAAAAGGGGAGTTGTGTTTGAAGTCCTTGTTAGGGTCGCCACAGGAAGTGTGCACAAGGCCGTGAGCGGGACAGGTTTACTAGGTCATGTGAGCCCCGTGGCGCCAGCACCCGGGGGGAGGGAGCTCTTTCTGGGGAACTCTGGGTTCCAAATCCTGGGAGAGTCCAGAGAGGGAAGATCGTGGTCGTAGCAAGTGGAATGTGGTATAAGCGAAAGGGAATGTTGGCTGTGAAGTGGCCTGAAGGTCAGTTCCCAGGAGGAGGGTATCGGATTCAGTGACTTGGTCAGACCTCACAGTCCTGTGATGAGATCTTTGTGTGGTCGGATTTTGTACTAAATCTTGATATTTACACTTCTTTTTCTCTTTTTCACTGGCCTTTTCAAAATTGTTCTGAGGGATTTTTTTTTTCCTGTACTTAATCCCCCTCCCCCCCAAAATTTTTTTAAAAATCTATGAACATATAACACCCAGGAGTTGTTTTACATTTCATTTATTAAATTATTAAATGAACAAAGTTGGCACCTGATGGATGAATCTTGGTTATAGCTATTCCAACTTGGCAGAAATTGATAATTAGCAAAAACTTGTTTTGGATTTTTATTTGCTTGTTTCATTTTTTGTTAATCTTCACCAGAGGATATTTTTTCTGTTGATTTTTAGGGAGGAAAGGAAGAAGGGAGGAAGAAGGGGACACAGAGAGAAAAACATGGATGTGGGAGAGAGACATCGATGGGTTGCCAATCAGGGCCAAGGATCAAACCCAAAACCATTCTGTGTGTGATGTCTCTAACCACTGAGCCACGTGGGTCAGGGCATGGGGTTTTTGTTGTTTTTTACCATATTACAGATGCAGCTGTTTTCTGTCTGTAAACCACCTTCTGTGGGACAAGAGTGTCCCAGTGACTGACGGCCAGCGGTTGGGTGCTTTAACTAAATAGCTTGCTCCTAGCGGGCAGCTCAGATCCCAGTGAGAAGTGTTGACTGCACCAGGATAGAGCAGGAATAGAGCATGCTGATGGATTTTCACAAGGCCTTTAGCGACCAGTTTAAACTTGTTGAGATTTTTTTTGCCTTGGTTTTTTCCTATAGGTGCCCAAGTTCTATTTCAGATTTTCATGAATGACTCATCTTCCTGTCATATTTTCTTAGACTGCAATGACTTAAGACTCTTTGGGTCACTGCTATGAAGTTTCTCCTTCTACATTTATTGGGAGGAGAAAACAGTAAATATTCAAACATACGTCTGTTTCCATTTCATGCTGATTGATTCCTGACTCTTTCTGAAAAGCACATTTTTGTGATGCATTGTTTTCTGTGAGAGGAAGCTTATAACCTCTTTTTTTCCCCCTTTTCCAGAGGAAGTCTGGAAAAGTTATAAGCAAGACATCATTTCTGTAAGAAAATTTTGGATAGCAGGAGTTCTGGATAAAAGGTAAAGTGTATTTAAACTTCTTTGATGGTGCTGATAATCACCTGTAATCTGCAGAAGTAAACTGGGAGGGGGGAGAAGAGAAGGAGAAATGCTAGGTGTGCTTAGTGTCTGGGGTAGCATTAGGAATTTTATGTGCATTACCCTTTTCAGATGGTTTTTACCGGGATTCTGGACATGGTTCCAAGAATCTCAAAATAAAACTATCCTTCAAAATGCTGTTTTAAATGGATTTGCCTATTGATTGGACGTAATGTCCTCACGATTCAGTCTGTAGACATTTTCACCATAAACGTAATACAGACACATAATGCAGAATCCTAGCTAGGGAGCTTTCCTAGTGCCTGTCTGTCTGACATTACTTCTTGATCATTGCCCGTTATTTGCAGCCATACCATCTTTCAAGTTATTTTTAATACTTTGTCACCAGGTCTTATCATGTCTGGACCAAATAGTTTATTTCTTATCTATATTTCATAAACTTCTGAAGGCCTTGTGAAATAATAGTATATGTAATGAATCAGTATACTCTGAGAAATACATCTGAAATTATAGCTATGATTTTACCTTGTAGGGAAGATGAAAGCAAGCCAGACTTTTAGATTGGGGGCACAAACAAATGCTCATAGTCTGAGGTGAATGTCCTACCTGAGGGTAGTGGATGAGATGCTGTTTACTTTACCAATTATTCCAGTGTGAGCCTTGAAGTTAGATTTCAAGTAGGTAGAAATATCAGTAAAACGTTAAGTTTCTAACACTTGCCGATTTTATTTTCCTCGGGTGTTTTTATCAGGGCAGACCAGTCCAGTCACCATGAGTTGGAGCTTCCTGACGCGCCTGCTGGAGGAGATCCACAACCATTCCACATTCGTGGGGAAGATCTGGCTCACGGTGCTGATCGTCTTCCGGATCGTCCTCACAGCTGTCGGCGGGGAGTCTATCTACTACGACGAGCAGAGCAAGTTCGTGTGCAACACGGAGCAGCCGGGCTGCGAGAACGTCTGCTACGACGCCTTCGCTCCCCTCTCCCACGTGCGCTTCTGGGTCTTCCAGATCATCCTGGTGGCCACCCCCTCGGTGATGTACCTGGGCTACGCCATTCACAAGATCGCCAAAATGGAGCACGGTGAGGCAGACAAGAAGGCTGCGCGGAGCAAGCCCTACGCCATGCGCTGGAAACAGCATCGGGCTCTGGAAGAGACAGAAGAGGACCATGAAGAGGACCCCATGATGTATCCAGAAGTGGAATTAGAAAGTGAGAAAGAAAACAAAGAGCAAAACCAACCTAAACCCAAGCATGATGGCCGACGGCGGATTCGGGAGGACGGTCTCATGAAAATCTATGTGCTGCAGTTGCTGGCCAGGACCGTGTTTGAGGTGGGTTTTCTGATAGGGCAGTATTTTCTGTATGGCTTTCAGGTCCACCCATCTTATGTGTGTAGTAGAATTCCTTGCCCTCATAAGATAGACTGCTTTATTTCTAGACCCACTGAAAAGACCATCTTCCTCCTGATAATGTACGGTGTTACTGGCCTTTGCCTGTTGCTTAACATTTGGGAGATGCTTCATTTAGGCTTTGGGACAATTCGAGACTCACTAAACAGTAAGCGGAGAGAACTGGAAGACCCGGGTGTTTATAATTACCCTTTCACTTGGAATACGCCATCTGCTCCCCCTGGCTATAACATCGCCGTCAAACCAGATCAGATCCAGTACACCGAGCTGTCTAACGCTAAGATCGCCTACAAGCAGAACAAGGCCAACATCGCCCAGGAACAGCAGTACGGCAGCCACGAGGAGCACCTCCCCGCCGAGCTGGAGACTCTGCAGCGGGAGATCAGAATGGCTCAGGAGCGCTTGGACCTAGCAGTCCAGGCCTACCATCACCAAAACCACCCCCCCGCTCCCCGGGAGAAAAAGGCCAACGCGGGGTCTAAAGCCGGGTCCAACAAAAGCAGCACGAGCAGCAAATCAGGGAACGGGAAGACCTCCGTCTGGATCTGAGCTTGGCCGGCGCAGCGCTTGTGCTCTTCGGAGCTGATGGTAAGCCACGGCTCCCTGAATAATGACTTCCACCGAGTACACACTTGGCTCTGGTTATCTTCAGGGATCTGCTGGCTGTGATCCGAGCTCAGGGGACTCTGAAGGCGGGGCTGGGACAGAGGAAAAGAAGGGAAACATAGTGTCCTGGGCACACGTTCCAGCGGTAATACAGTTGTAGACTTTACATTTGTGTCTTCCAGATCTGGAAAAGAACAGATATATTTAAATCATTCTTGTTGAACAATTTTTGTATGTACAGTATTATGGAACTTTTTTTTTTCTTTTTTCTTTTTTTTTTTTTAGTATGAGAACATTTTTTGTACTTGTACATTGGACCACTGTAGTTATACTTTTATATTAAAGGGGGAAAATCCTAAGGCAATGCCTATTAGGCTATATTATTACTTTGTTCAGCATATTCTACCCTGGGTTTAATGTTTTAATAGATGCTACACCTAATAAAAGTGCCTCTCGTGGTGCAGGGATAATTTCAAATATATGAGGAGGAGGAGGAATCAGCTTCCAGTCTTAGAAAGCCACAGTAGAAGCAGGTTCAGATCCCTTCTTGAGAGTCTCACTCCTGTGCCCGGTGTTGTATCTAGTCTTTGAAAACCTATTGGTATTTTCAAAGGAGAAACGTGATTCGATGCAGGATTCCTTAACTGTCAAGCATTGCCAGTGTGTGCTTTGATTGGTGTATCCTTTAAGTTCTTTCAAAAGGCTGATCCTCCCAGTTCTGTAGCAGTGTGGAGACTGAGTTACTGAGACTCCTGTTCCACAAAGCACAGCCACGCCTGGAAAACGAGCCCTGATCGGATGTTCAGTTGTGAACCTGTTTGATTTGCCTTAAATCTCTATCCAGAAACCTGCCTCTCTCTAGTTTCTCAAGAAACCAGTAATGGATAGTTTCTTTATATGTTAACATTAGAAATACAGAAATTCCCTTGTAAGCTAAGAATACAAAGCTCCTTGTGCTGCATATGATGGAAGGCCTAAATCCAAACTCCTTATTTTTTGTAATCTACCATGGAACTTTTGTAATTTGCATACTCCTGCCAATGTCGTTTTCTGCCTGGAAGACCAGTCAGACCAGGGGTTTTATCTGTAAATAGATCTAAAGAGCATTTCAGTATTTATTCCCTACAAATATATTTGTAGGCATATCAATTTGTCAGTGACAGACATTAATGTTCATGTAACAGTCATACTTTGCAGTATTTTATTGCCATTTTCAACCTTGTATCATATTGGAGAGCTTTGCTCTGCTGTCAGGTTCACATCGTTTGTCTTATAGTTGGTGAGCTTCTGAGTAAGAGCTTGGTGAAGGTTTAAAGGAAGGGACTTTTGCTTCACTTTGGAATATTTCATTTTGGATAGCTCACTCTTTTCCAACAGGAAGCTGTCACAAGCCACCTCTGACTTTGAAATTCTAAAAGTATTATTAGTTTTTTTATGTCTTAATTTTAAAATGAGAATTCTAGAACAGCATCTTCATTTCTTTTCTTTTTTCTTTGTTGGTCTCCATTGCGTTTCTCCCACTCCTACCCCCAAACAAAAGCAACTCAGTAGAAAATTTAAGCTTATTTTCTAGCCATGCATTTACCTTTATTTTGTTGCTTTTTTATATATAATTTTGACCTAGAGAAGTTCCTCAGGATCTCTAAACATCTTAAGCACAAAGTAAATCCAGGTGAGACTAAAAGGGAAATTTCAGGAAATTATACATGTATGTATCCTGGATAATTAATAGACATGCAATTTCCTTCAAACCAAATGTATAAAAGGAAATTAAAATAACTACTCTACAAAAGCAGGCAAAATGTTAAATACCTAAGCCTCGCTAAGATAAGGAACTATCAATTAATTCATAACTGAAGGACGGAAGATGCACACACACACTCTCTGTCTCTTCAGAGCCTGCAGAAAAGCGAGGCTTCGCCAGCAGGAAGGTTGGGGCGTTGGAAGTGATGGAGAGGGAGGGAGTCGGGTGGAAGTGCCAGGCCGACATTGTGCCAGGAGTATCTATTGTTCCTACAAACGGTGCCCCTGGCGTTTCATTTTGGCTTGTCATTCTGATGAGAATGTTACCCTTTGTGTCTGGATCATTCTTCACCTTCTTGAAGTAGGTAGAGAAATATTCACATGTGCACGCACATTTAAAAAATCTGTTTTTATTCTGTCACTGAAGTTTTAATTGGGACATGAGTTTCTCAGTTCTCACTGCTTTCTTATTTTATTTCAGCCTTTGAACATAAGTTTGCCAAAGCCATTTCCCCCTGGTGACATCTGTGAACCTGCATTAGGAAAATGGCCCTGTCCGTGTCTAGGTTAATCCATTGATTTGGTCTACACATTGAATCTATAAAAATATCATCCCAGCTATTGTTCTGGAACTCGCAGGAATTTGTATGAAAAGTGTGTCCGTATTTTTTTCTTGTCAGAATCATATTCCTTTGAATTGCTGTGTAAGACATGCTCTGTCATAGGGTATTTGCTTCTCTAGATAGGAGTTGAGTGTTTAGTTCTTCACATCTGAGAAACAGGATACAATCATGTTTATATACCTTAGCATCCTGTTGGATTTATTTAGATGTGGCGTATCCTTTGCCATCTTCCTTAAAATCTGTTATTCAGAGAGATTTGTAAAAGGAACAGGCTTTTTTCTTAGTTCAAATTGAAGGGATAATTTCATAACATTTTCTCCTAAAAAATGTTCATATTCATTTTGTGGTTTCATGTTTTCTTGATGACTTAATTTTGCCTGTTTCGATATTTCATTTAAAACCACAAGTGTGTTCTCACTCAAAGTCAGTTTTTCTGGGGATTTTCCTTGACGAATGTCTAATGTCTATAGAATTACTTTGATAAAAATGAACTTTGTCATTTAAAATGTTTCTGGAGGTCAGGACTACTAATAGTCTTTTTTTTTAAAAAAGGACAGCCTTGTCTTTAAAGAGAAAAACATCATCCTTAGATACCTTAATTATGTCATTTCTTCTTGGTATGTTATTAGGCAGTTCATTTTACTTTTCCAAACTTCAGGAACCACTTACCTCTCAAAAGTGTTATGAAGCAGTTGGAAAAGGAATCAGAAGACCAACTATGGTTATTGGCTATTTATCTGAACTCAGAGCTTTAAAAAAAAAGTTGAAAAGAACTGTGATGGTAGTCAGGTGTCCTTCAGTGCTCTTTATCACAGAATCATGATGGATTAAAATACTGGCTCTAAGCAGTTTATACCAAGAATGGAAGTAAACGTTACTCCCATTTGTTATACCTGTGCTCTACCCTTAAGCTTATGAATATCCATCTTCATGCTTCCTGCCTCACTTTGGAGAGAGTATACTTCTAAGAATAATGTTTAGCCAGCCAGCTTTCAGTAGAAGGCAAATATGTTTTACTTGAAGCTACTTTACGAAACGCCTTTCCATAAAGGAGAGGTCTTTCCTGGCTGAAGGAAAGTACCTGAAGCCAGTTACCCAGCTGCTGGTCATTCTAATGGGAAGGTTCCCCGTACTAGATGATCCTTATAAAATCATGTAATCTCGTGCAGAGTCTTTCCACCTGAAAATAATAAAGCCCCTCGCTGATCCAGTACAGAGTTTGGGAACAAAATTGCAACTCACTGATATATCATGGTTCTGTAATAATTCAGTCACCATCAAATAATAGAATCATTAGGCTGAATTGCATACTTTTCACTCATGCTGGCCACACATCATGGAGAGTTTACAAGATTTCACATGTCGCTAATGCAGTTGTGTTTTGAATAATGTTAAGCCAGTTTGCGTTGTGCACATTTCATGTTAATAACCATACTTTTGAAAGAAGCAATCCACAGGACTCCGAAATTCAGGAGTTCAAACAAAAGTTCCAACTCCCAAGCAAAATCTCTACCTAAAGAAAGGAAGGAAGAGTTGTGCATTTCGGAGTTGGCTTGTTGAATCAGCAGAAACATTTGGCTATATATGCTTCCAAGATTGGAAATCCTTTTCTTTATTGTACTCTCAATTGTGTTCTCTCTAATAAATCTCTTCCAGAAGTCTCTACCTCAGGCACTAAGTGTTAGCTATGGTTAGGATACTGATGCTGAAAAACTTAGCTAGGACTTCCACCTTTTTAAGATAACCTAAATGTAAACCACTGTTAACCAGCAATCTCCTATCGTGTGGTATGCAGTTTGGATATTGTACGAACAGCTAAGGATTACCCATTCTAGTGCCAAAGATCACTTGTGGCTAATTTTGTTTTGTACAGTTTGATGTAAAACGTCACGGGGGACAGACTCTGTGCTCAGGGCCTTGTCTCCGGAAAGATTTCTGTCCGTTCCAAATACAGTTCAGAAGATTCATTTGTGGTCTGTGCATCTTTTCCCAAACTTGAAACTCAGCTGCCAGGAAATGTCACATGGAGGATCTTACCCCATTCTTTGTATAAAATACTACTCAAGCGCTTAATGATTTACACAGAAAACATGACACAAAAATCTGTTCTCCTGCGTCCACCTGTAAGTCGATCTCAGTGGGAATGGGTGAGCAGGAAGCTTTCCCAGGAGAGGTTTGAACTCGGATTACTTTCGTTCACAGCTGCTTAGAACTCAGCTGGGATTGCTGGGCTGCGGGGGTCGGTGTGTTTGCGGCATCATGATGAGGGTAGGTGGCCTTGTGTGCGAGGAGGTCCAGGCACAGAAACACACCCTGCCTCTGGCTCCCTTTGTTCCTCAAGGCCTTTTCTCCCAGGGGAGTGCCTTCTGGAGGGATGCTCCCCCAGACACAGGCCAGTCTTGGTGAATCTGATGTGCCTCCTGAGAAAAGAGAGAATGTGGGAGAGGTTGAGTTTATTGCAGTGATGCCCTCTGGTCCCCCCGATACAGAACGGCTGGCTGGTAGTGTACGCACGGAGCCCACCCTCAGCACAGACTGGAAACCGGCTAGCCAGCCACTTCCGAGCTGCTTGAAAGC